TCTTCCTCCTCTGCTCTGCCACTGTGGTCAGAGCTGGGACATCCCTTATAGAAGGAAACTGGGCTCCCCACTGCAGTGAAGTACATCCATTAGCCTCATTCTCAAGCTCAACATATGACAGGTGCAGAAGGGGTTTAATAAGGAACAATCTCTCCAGCTTGGAACAGAAGGGACCTCTTTTCTATTGCTTGAGGTTTGAGGTCAAGATTCAATGGAGACAAGTATGATGGTGAATCTATAAATAGTCAGATAATGGGACTGCTTTGAGTTTCAAAGGGATTTTTCAGTCCTTTGAAAAATGTATGAGGTAGTAAGGTATCAGTATGGCAGCCCTGTGCTTAAAACTAATTTCTTTTCTGACCTAATGAAGAATTCATTGTGTTAGACTGCTTATTACTTTTAACTTTAAAAATGTTCCCAGAGGCAGCTTGGCCTACACAGTGTCCAGTGATTGGAATGCATATATTCTCCAAAGGGAGGTCCAGTGCTCACTTTTATGAGATTTTAACTTGGGCAGGTTCTTAGTTGGAGATAACAGAATCTACTCCATCTATCTCAAGAGAAACAGGATTTATTAGGGGATGGAGATAACTTGCTGAATCATCGTGAAGGCTCAAAACAGAGAATTGGGATTGAACTTCCAGGAAAAACCTGTCGACTTAAATACAGACCTGAGCTGCTGAGGGATGGGCTGCTTTGGTCATGGTCCTGAAATAGAGAAGGGGCTGTAGTATCTAGAAGAAGTCACCACACTACTGTCTCAGTCATGCTGCCACGATCCAAACCAACAAAACAGATGTACAATTGAGTGTCTCTTCCTATGTGGCTCAGTTCTGAATCAAAATCTCACACTAGTGCATCTCAAAGACAGAACTGAAACTGCATCTGGGACTCTAGGCAAATGAGCGTCTGGTGTTGGCATCCACCCAGGTTTAGAAAGAGTGTTGAGGGAAGCCCTCTATAGAACCAACAGGGCTTTAAACCACATCTCTTCCTTCCACAGGCATACTAAAGAGCAAAGCTTATTTCCCATCATTCTAGCCCCTGACCCGTCCATCACTCATCCATTTACCCATCTATGTATCCACCTATCCATCCATCCCTCCACTCATCCATCCCCCCACTCATCCATCCATCCATTCATCCATCCATCCATCCATCTGCCAATCCATCCATTCATCAATCTTTGCACTTTGGATATTATTTATTTAAAAAAATCTGTTTCAGAATATGTCTAAAAGATAGGACTATTTCAAAGATCTGACTACAACTTCATTATCATACACACATTCTTAATAATAATTCCTTAATATCATCAAATATCTAGTCAATGTTCCAATTTTCCCAATTGTCTCATAAGTTTCAAAACCAGTTTGTTTGAATAAGGTTCTAAATAATGAGGGTTTGGGTGATACAGCATAAATTGATTGACACGTCCCTTCAGCCTCTTTTAATCGGCAGTTTCTTCTCCTTTATTCTCCTCTCCTCTCCTGCCTTTCTCTCTCCTCTCCACTCTGCCCCTCCTCCTGTTTCCTTCTCCTCCTCCTCCTTATCCTCTTACTTCTTCACCTCTCCTTCCCACTCCACTTTAACAATCTCTTTGTTAAAGAAACTGGGTCATTTGTCCTACAGAGCCTTTCCCAGTCTGGATTGTGCTTGCTCTATGCATCTTCACAGTATCTTCTACTATAGTTGGTTGTCTTTTTTATTTTCCATAAACAAGCACTTGGATATAGAGGCTGATCTGATTTAGGGTTCCTTTTTTTTTTTTTTTGGTAAGAGTACTTGAGAAGAGCACATCACTCAGAGGTTTGTAATATTCATTTGTCTCTCTTTTGGTGACATAAGCATCCAGTAGATGATCACTGCCTGAGTCCACCTTTTCACTAAGGGTTTGCAAAACATCTAGATTCTTGATGTGTCATTTTTTATTCATTAATTGGCTGGAATATTTCAAGTGTGAGATATTATCCCTCATCAATGATTGGCTTTCCCAAGGCATCTCAAGATGCCTTTATATAGGAAAAGCAGAGGACATTCTTGATCTGCACCCTCACCCCTGCCACCTTTATTTCTTACCAGTTTTCAGAAAAACAAATTGGAATTTATTATTTTAAAGGTAGCATCTTTTACAGGTAATCAATGAGTTTTTTTTTTAAGTGTCACTATGACATCATGGATTTAAGCAAATTTGGTTTGTGTCAATCTATTGCAGTTATTTTTTTTAACTGATGCCCAAATTGACCCATTTGAGAGGGAACCTCTATCTTTCTACATAATTCTAATCATCTTATCATCATCTTGGCTTCATTAATTCCTTGTATGAAAACATGTTGCAGGTTTCTTTTGTGTATTTCTTGCCCCAGACCCAGAACCAGCCATTTCTTCAAGGATCTCTTGTTCCCTTTAGTAAGAAAAAGTATTTAAAGACCACAATCTGGATGCTTCATGAAATAATAGATACTTTTTAAAGTATCTATTTATTCTTCAATTATTGCAAGGAGCAAAGAATGAAAAAGAATGTGACAATTAGCATGGAGCATAGAAAGTCAGCATCAAGCCTTTGAAGGCCCCTACTTCGTAGGTATAAGTAAAAAAACTGATGGTGTTGTTTGATAGTTTATGAGTTGGGGTTTTGGGAGAAGCATTTTGGGGGTTGAATACAGTTCATGTGTTTCTCTCTAGCTGCCTCTACCCTCTGCTGGGTAGTTCTCCCTCCGTGATAGTGTGAGGAGACAGAGGACATGGGTTGCTTCATCACCTGCTAACGAGGAGTGACCACTTGGAATTGCTTATTCCCAGAGGCTGCGATGCCAGGGCCCCGATCAAAGTGACACAGTAAGAATTTGGTGAGAGGCAAGAGATCTTGCCTAGGAATCTGGAGACTTGGGCTCACATCCTGCAATAAGTATTGCTCAACCGTGCTCCCTTTTAACCATCCTTTCCTGTTCTAGAAGCCATGTAACCTTTCTGTGTGTGTTTCCTCATCTGTAAGGGGTGGTAGTGTATGTGTGCATGTCTTGGTGTAATGGGTAGAGTAGGACAATTATCTGTATCCTAGCAAACAAGCTTTATCTGAGGGCCATTCAGACAGAAATAAAATATATGTACAAGTTAAAATATTTGCAGTGATGTTATCTTCCCCCCACCCCCAGGTAGTTTTAATCCTGGCTTCAGGAGCCCGCTGTTTTGATGGGCACTGCAAATCCCCTTGACCCAACATCACTTCTCCACTGGCCCTGCTGCAGTGCTCGGCATTTCCTCAGTTCTCACCCTTGGTATTTTGGGATGGTTCTTCATATATTGTCTGGAAGAAATGATATGTGATCTACTACAACCCTGGTTACAATGATTCTACCGGACTAGACTGTGGGTGACCACCTTCTAAGTCTTGGTGTGAATGAGCATGGCAGGGCTCCTTTTCTTGGGGAGGAAAGTAGTGGCGAGGTCTGGGGTGGGGGGAACGGAAAGTACAGTTTGGAGGCCCACTGTTAGGGTGAAGTTTGGGAGACAATCTCATGGCAAGTCACTAGTGGATGTCTGTTGTTTTTACCTGCCTTGATTTCATTCTAGAGAATTACCCATTCTCTGTGGGGATGGTCTTATTGAAAGGACTATTTCTGTCTCTCCTCAAGGGAAAGGATGTGTCTATGCTCTGAGCTAGGCCAGTCAGATGCTGTCTCTCAGGAACTGAATCCCAAGTGGTGCAACATAGAGACCTACCACAGCTGGAGTGGATCCATCTCAATGGCGGTAGCTCCTGCCACCTGGATCTGCCCTGATGTCTGGCCTTCCAGAGCCTATGTCTTCAACTTCTTTTTGCTGTCTTCCAGTGAATTTACTTCTCTCTCTTCCCTGCACTGCTTAAGTTACCTGGATTTGACTTCTGCTCCTTGACACCAAGAATTCTAGCATAAATGCATGTAAAAAAAAAAAAAACCAAACTGGTTTAATGACATAATTTAACCTGCCTCCTCCAGCCCCCCACTGTGTAGCAGAGAAGTAGCTAAGCCACATTACTAAATGCACTATTGGAAGGCACTTCTATCTCTGGTTTTTCCACTGGACTTTGGGGGCTGGTCTCTTTTAACTCTGCAAGACATGAAGAGGCCTATGTGTTCTTCCAACTGCTTCCTGGACAGCTTAGATTTTGTAGGAACCAAAGGCTGGGGGTTGGCCTATATCTTCCTCTCTTTGCATTTTATGGGCCTCTGTTTAACTCCATGCTGTTATACAGTATACATCCTTCAGGAGGAGGTAACACATTTTATCTTCTCCATTACAAAACCGCGCACGGCTCTTACAGAAAATATTTTTCATGAAAAAATGAAAACAAAATTCACACATAATCCTATCACCAGATTACATCTTAAAATCTTGCTGTGATTTCTTATAGTCTTCATGACCACACATATATAAATAATGTATACTTTTTAAAAACAGGATTATAATGTCTTTTAAACTTAAAATACCTTAAAGGAGTTTCAGGTCATTAAATTATTTAATGGTTGCACAGCATTCTTGCCCTGTTGTATATTCATTATTCACATTCTCATGTCACCTAAACCTTCACATTCTTTTTATGCACAAGAACCTAAGAGTTAAAATCACTTTCCTCACCTGAAATTGGTGTACACATAGCTCAAAGTGAGCTGTAGCCCACACTAATGTCCAGCATGCGTCATCAATGCCTCTTGAGCACTGGTGGAGTGACCAGAGGCAAATAAAGCAGGTGCTCTTTTTTTGGTGCTCTAGGTTACAGACCTCACACAGAGCTTGCTGTGCTGAGGAGGTGTGTAAACGCTGAAGTCAATGACCTTCAGCCCAGCAGATCTTCTGCAACTTTTACCTCAGTATCAGTCTGTCCCAGGGGAGAGTTTGCAGACGGGCTCTTGTTATCAATACACTTTAATCTCGTCCTGCACCAAGCCCACACCAGTATGCTAATGAGAACTCTACTCTCCTGGGCATGACTGTGAACATCTTTCCTCACTAGGTTTCAGAACGTGCTGAGAAATCTTGGCTGAGCACCGTGCAGGGGGGAAAGGAACAACATTCTGGATGGTCATTTGCTTTACTGGATGCAGGATTTCTTTTGATTGGTTGAATCAGGTAAGAGTACTTGTATTTTCTTGGAGAGGGAGGGAGGGGTCTTGAATCATCCCTTTGTCTTAGAGATCTTTCTCTGAAAGATCTCTGCATTTCGCTGAAATGCAAAAAGCTTCACTCCGTTTTCTTAGCTTTGGAAAATTTAGTTTTGCCAAATTATTACCTTTTTACTCTCACGGTCTTGAAAAACAGAGACCTCAGCATAGTAGAGATGTGGCAAGTGGCTTGCTGTTGTGTTCCAGCCTCATCACTGGGCTTGCAAACTGTGCCAGATCAAGTGAGAACCAGTGGGAAATGTCAAATCTTTTGAGTTCCAACCATTAGCTCAGCTCTCCATGGTGTATTCCGAAGGCAGACAAGGCATTTGCTTTAGATTTGAATCCAGATTGTAGTCATCAATGAAAAATAAATAGTGGAACCGGTTAAAAAAGAAAGGTGATAATGTTGGCGGTAATTCTGGCAACAGGGCAGTGAAACCCATGAAGTACATGATGGAAATCTGAGTTAGAGCCGGAAACTCTAATGTTAGATCAAGTGCCACTGTTGACTTGTGTAAAATGCTGCTGGTGGTAATCAGTTCAGCAGAATAAAGCTAGCAAAAAAAAAAAAAAAAGTGATATGGGGCCATGTCTGTGTGTTGTGTAGGCTCCTACCATGTGACCACATTCACACGTATGTGCCATGTACATGTAGATGCTCTGGGGTCGGGAGGTCTGCTGCCGCTCGGCCTTGTTGAATTGTCCTGGTGGAGCAGCAACTCTCCCAGCCAGGAGGAAGAGGAGTGAAACCAAAGCTTTTAGAAAGAACTAGGTACACTGGGTTTGAGGTTTGCCACTGAGATAGCAGCTACGGACTAGTAAATGTACTTGGATCGTCCAAGTTTCAGAGGCACAGGTTAGATGTGTTTCCTGATTCCTGAGGGCTGACAGTGAATGTTGGGACCGAGATCAGAACTAATTTGTTTTGCCTTAAATTTGAAGTTGTCCCTGATGGTAGCAGTGAAAGTGACCATGGTGGTGATAAATGGATGAGGAAAGGGTACTAATGACCAAGAAATTTAGGAAGATGTGCCAGTCTCTTTGTTCACTTCCAGTTCAGCCTTACCTGTGAAATGTTTGCTGTTAGACTGATTGTTAAACTCTAGTCCAAGGGCACCTGGGGGGACTCAGTCAGTGAAGCATCTGCCTTTGGCTCAGGTCATGATCTCAGGCTCCTGGGATCGAGCCCCACGTTGGGCTCCCTGCTCAGCGGAGAGTCTGCTTCTCCCTCTCCCTCTGCCCTCCTCCCCTCTTGTGCTCTCTCTCTATCTCAAATAAATAAATAAAATCTTTAAAGAAATAAATAAACTCCAGTCCAGGGATTGCAAAATAAAATAAGTACAAAATAAGGTAGTAACTTAGATAGAAAAGGGCCACTGGGAAGAGTCTGTGGTGGGTTGGAGGACACATGCCCTCTCTGAAGGAACAGCAGCTACTATGTTCTACAAGCTCTTGGCACCCAGGAATGCTGACTCAGTGTTGCCAGGGTTTATGAACTATTTTGAAAGGAAACTTGAGGGTTTAGATTTGTAAATGTAGACTCTCTTTTTACAGATGAACTGTAAGCTCCTCTATCTTGTCAACTAAATCAAATTGAAACAGAAAGTTGGGCCATGCTAAGCACACTTGTTTGGAGGGAATTTGTAACTTGGGTGGGGGGGGGTGTAGCATCTGAGTCACGTAATACCCATCTTGGCAGCACGTCCTAGGACTCTAATCCCATCTCATTGCTATGGTTCCCTGAAGTATGGGTTGAGAAAATGGGCTCTGAAGTTCCTACCTGTGATTCCAAGAATTCTTTAATGCAGCTTCATTTAAACTCCCTTCGAGGACAGTGAGGAGCAGAGTTGCTGTTTTGCAACCTAACGATAACTGCAAACATTTTGAACACCTACGGGACAAACAAATTATTGCTTGTCATCTCATTTTCATAAGAACTCTATAAGGTGGGGACTAAGATTATCATCATAATCACACCACCATTTACAGATGGAAAAACTGAGGTTGGGGAGGATCTCCCAAGGTTGCTGAGTAAGTGGCAGAAATGAGATTTGGATTCTGGAGTCAGAAGGTAAAATCCATTTTTTTTAAAGATTTATTTATTTACTTACTTACTTATGATAGACATATATATATATAGAGAGAGAGAGGCAGAGACACAGGAGGAGGGAGAAGCAGGCTCCATGCCGGGAGCCTGACATGGGACTCGATCCCGGGACTCCAGGATCACGCCCTGGGCCGAAGGCAGGCGCCAAACCGCTGAGCCACCCAGGGATCCCCTAAAATCCAATTTTTAAGCACCATATTATACCTTCTCCTACAGTATGTGAATTTTTAGCTTCCATAGTCTCTCTGAGTGATGATGACTCTGACTCCTAAAGTATCTTAATGGATCTGTAAGGACATTTTCTGCCTTTGTAGAACACAGGGGCATTGTCTTTGCATCTTTGTCTTTGTCTTCATCCTTTGACAGGGTTTGTAAAATGTATGGGATCTTTCTGATGATAGAAGAGGGAGATTTTCCTAATGCCTGGCTTGAGACCAGAGAGGCCACCTTCCCTTTCATACTTTTTTCTCATTAGATATTAACTGAAGGTTAGCAAATGGAATTTAAAGGCCAATTTTTTTTTATGATAGTCACAGAGAGAGAGAGAGAGAGAGAGAGAGAGAGAGAGAGGCAGAGACATAGGCAGAGGGAAAAGCAGGCTCCATGCACCAGGAGCCCGACGTGGGATTCGATCCCGGGTCTCCAGGATCGCACCCTGGGCCAAAGGCAGGCGCTAAACCGCTGCGCCACCCAGGGATCCCTAAAGGCCAAAATTGTGTGTAGACACCTCCTTATAGACAAGGTCCTTTTCCTTAGGCCATGACCATAGGGGACAGCCCTAACCAAGGGTGATCACCCCTGTCGACGGAAGTGTTCCCACATCCACCCGTGTGCAGATAGCATCATCACCACCAACGAAAATAGTATGATGCAGCCAAGGGATACACATACACATACATTTTAGCTTAGTTGCTAATGCCAAATGGTGAGTGGTGGCTTCTAGAATGAGCACTGTGCTGAGAAGAGTCTGGAAACCACATCTGAGCTCACCAACGAGTGCTGTAATTGACTGGTCTTGTCTGCCATGGCTTGGCATATGCAACTAGTGGCAGGTATGCTCTGTACTTGCCATGGCCGCTATCGTCTATTTGTGCGGTGGCACTAAGACATCATGGGCTGGGGCAGCTCAAAGCACATGCATTTTAATTTGTGATCCTGTCTTTTCCTGCCTCATCCATTTCTGCTTTTCCTCAGGAGAGATGGCCAAACGCACCTTCTCCACATTAGAGACATTCCTGATTTTCCTGCTCGTGATGATGACTGCTGTCACGGTAGCCCTTCTCAGCCTCCTGTTTATCACCAGTGGGACCATTGAAAATCACAAAGGCAAGTTGTAATGGGCTCTCTTGGGTGCTATTCCTAGCCTGTGGGAAGTTTCTTGATTACTGGAGACGCCAAGGCAAAGAACAGTGTCTGCTGGTAATGCCGATAACAGGGCTGTTCAGTGTGTACTTAAGCAGCCTAGGATGGCCAGCTAACCTTTACATTAATTGCCCTTTCTGCATTGATAGCAATTTTTATCAAGTTTACCTTTGCCCCCAAATAGTCAGTTGACAGGCATTCTGACATGGCGCTTACTCATCTGTCACTTTTCCACTGACTGAAGCCCTATTCAGAATTCTTCAAGGCCCAGTAAAGTGAGCATTTGCCCCATGTTCCTGTCTTTCTCTTTGACTTTTCTTGGGCATCATCTTCTCTTGGGGACAAAAGGAGAATGAAAGACCCATTGAATATCAACTAGTCTGTGGAAAGCATTGAACTCAAATTCTTAGGAAGGCCGATCAAGTTTTATAAATGAAGTGGAGTGAGGAGGTGGAACAAGGTAGGGCAACGATCTTCAGCCCCTCCTGAGTGCCAACTGTTAGTTGTCATGGGGTCACATGGACTCAGATCCCCAGAGTTTTCAAGAGAAGCTAGAATGGATGATTTAGGCAATTCTTGATATATATATATATATATATATATATATATATATATATATATATATTTAATATTGGGAATTAATTTAGTTTTTGAAGATGATGTAGGCTACATTTACAGGCAATATTGGGCCCTTGGATCTTTGATGGAGCCCTACTTTAATGGCGGGTCCTATACTATATAAGTAGAGAAGACAGGTGGGGGTTGAATGCTTTGACCCAAGTAAAGGGAGGGCTGGCTTTAGGCCAAACAGAAAAGGCTTTCATCTCAGTTTTCCCTCTAGTGGCCTCTTGTTTCCAGCACATTCTCTACCATGACCCTGAGCTTTCAATTCCCTGCAAACACAAGAGGGACAGAGATTCTCTGTGCCAGTGGTGTGGAGAGCAGGGGCATGAACTGCTAGGAAAGAAAGGACCCATAAGACTTCCTTAGTTTTGGCTTTTAAAGTTAGAGAATCCAGAGGCTGAGACTCAGGGAGGTGATCAACAGTTACGGTAACTATTCTTATAGTAGGAGTTGCTGTTTGTTGAGTAGTTGCTGTGTGTTGAGCACTATGGTCAAGAGTCTACATACTTTTCTCACTTAATTCTCATAAAACTTCTATAAAGGTAGGTGCTAGTCTTAGTACCATTTTCCAGATGTAGAACCTGAGATTCTGAGGTCATAAAGAAATCACCCTTGGCCTTTGGACTTGGTTTGCTTTGGTTGGCACTCCATTCCTACTTGGTATCAATAAGGCAAAGGTGCCTGCCTCCTTCCTTGCAATAATTGATCTCTCAAAGGCTTGTGGTTGAGAAAATATGGATTCTAACTACACAGTGAATATAGATGAAATAGCATCAGATTCTGAGTCATAGGACCTGATTCATCTCGTGCTGTCCATGAAATTGTCGTTACATTCCTTCTCTGGGGTCCAGTTTTCCTATACATAAAATTGAGGAGATCAGACTAGGTGACCTCTAGCTTTTCTTGAGTCCTCAGGATCCCAGGGAGTCAGCAGTCAATCTCCTAAATACTTTCTGAGCACTGATGCTTGTGACAGTGACATCTGTTGCCTTGGCCACCTTGGCTATTGTCTGGGGTGGAAACAAACAAACAAATAACAAGCATATGTAAGATATCTCAATATGTAAATAGGACCAAAGCTATATGCTGGCAATTATTCTAAATGTTTAATATGTATTAACATATTGATTGTTTAAAACAGCCCTAGCAAGTAGAGTATTGTTAGCCCTATTTTATAGATGAGAATAATCAGAGGAGAAAAGGGTAAGTGATTTGTTCATTGGTAAGTGGTAGAGTCCATTTTCAAACACAGGGTATGTGTTTCTGGAATCTGCTCTTGTAGGCTCTGTGCCATTCTGCCTCCCTTGATACTGTGTGTGTGTGTGTGTGTGTGTGTGTGTGTGTGTGTGTGATAGTCACATAGGACATGTACACGCATATATGTTGATGGTGATATGAGTAAAATAAGGTGGAGCTATGTTTTTAAATTTTTTTAAAGGTTTTATTTATTTATTCATGAGAGACAGAGAGAGAGAGAGAGAGAGAGAGAGAGAGAGAGAGAGAGACAGAGACATAAGCAGAGGGAGAAATAGGCTCCATGCAGGGAGCCTGACGTGGGACTCGATCCTGGGTCTCCAGGATCAGGCCCTGGGCTGACGGTGGCGCTAAACCGCTGAGCCACCAGGCTGCCCAGGTGGAGCTATGCTGAGCATATATGATCTAGTCTGCATTCTGAATAAAAGGCTTAAGAGAGTTGGGGAAAAGGGGGCAGCATAGAGATGGGGAGGGGCGTGGCATTCCCAGCTCAACCTAGTGGAGCTGCCTCTGAGTGTGATGGAAATGAACCAACTCGGAAGGGAGTCATGGAGCTTGGTTGGTGGACAAGAGAGAAGTAAGGTCTCTGAATGCAGAGAAGGGTGGAGACAGATCCCTGGAGGTTAGATCTAGTAGGCTGCGTGCCAGGAATTTGGCACCTGGTTTGTTTGTCTAGAGGAGAAGTGCAAGGGGAGTAGGTGCAGGGCCATGAGTTTGACAAGGAATGGGAAGTTGAAGGACATTTGACATAGGCCTTGACTGTTAGGGTGAAGTATCTCCAGTTCAAGAGAAAGATCTTCTTTAGGATTATTATATACTGTAAGTTCCTGAGATGTTTCTTACCATATATTTTAAATATAAGAGAATATATAACGATTTCTCCTTAGGAACCTGAGCCTACGTGTTCTAATCGATGCCAACAAATACATGGACTGGAATGTTGTTCCTTGAGTATTTTATTTTGCTTTTAGATTCAGGTGTTCCCACAATCCAGAGCTCTACAACCACCCTGGGCTCCACAGCCACTCAAGGCTCAACACTCACCCATGGCACAACAGCCACCCAGACACCGCCAGTGGTCACCACCCCAGAGCCTCCTCTCTTTCAGAACTTTAGTGGCTACCATATTGGTGTTGGGCGAGCTGACTGCACAGGACAAGTAGCAGATATCAACTTGGTAGGTAAATCATGGGCTCCTCAAGGAGAAAGAGACAAGTAATGTTATAGCTTGCATCCTACACTTACTCCTGATGATCACATCGTCTTCTTCTCACTTTTCCATTGCTTTACTGCTAACACTATGAATATTGTACTCTAAAGAGGGACTGTGTGTTCAACTGCAACTCCTTTATAAAGCCAATTGGCCATTTTTCATTAATGGAAATGGCAGGGCTGGCAAACTCACATACCACGGGGGGTGAGCTGGTACCATAAAGGACTGAAGCTGGCCCGTGTAAGCCGATAAGTGTCTAAAGAATCCTCAGTTTGGAGGGCAGCGGGGAAGTTGTGGGGTACAACTGTAAAGTGCATGGCTTTAGCGATTATTGCCATGTAGGGCTGCCCTATCTTAAAGTCTTTTCAAGAGAAGCTGGAAAATCTCTGGATCAGAGACCTGAGGATCTAAATCACTCACTTGGAAAATATAGGCAAGTCTAGTTAAAACTGGAAGCCTAGTGGAGGCCAACATTGTAAGCCAAGGACAGCGTGTCTGTGGGTCGAGTGTGGCCTACTGGCTGCTGACATGCAATATCTTGGTTGAGATGGTGGATATATTCATTCACCTCAACCCTTCTCTAGGAAGCTAGGACATGAGGTTTTTTGATGAGATTTTCTTCCTCCTAATAAATCATCTTTAGAGTCTAGGAATTATTCCCTACTGTCTGTTCTAAGAAATAGCTCTACAAACCCTAAGTGAACATGCCTATGAGGTGCAAAGCAAGCAGTAGAGGGAGCATTCTGAAGACTTTATGGGTGGGCCTTATGACATGGTGAGGAGGGGGTTTGCAATATGTAGATTTGATCTGACTCAGTTGAGGGACGGTCAACAGGGTAAAAGCCAGAGTGAGACATCTTCAGTAGATATTATTTAATTGTAAAGAAACCATTTTCTTCAGAGAAAGAAAGAAGATCCCACACCAATAAAACAAAGAGAGGGAGACTTCAGTCTTTAGGATGTTCCTGGGAATGTGGGACGGTGGTAGGGGAACTACTTCATTCCATAGTACCTTAGGCAGGAGGAAAGAACAGAAAACTCTGGAAGGTCTCTGATATGATAATGGAATGCCCAAGCCACGCCAGCCCCTTCCTTAACAGGTGGGCCTGTGAATGGCTTCTGCCAAACTGATGGCTACTGTGTGTTTACGTTTTTCTGCACAGAAAACGATGATGGCTTTATTATTGAAAACACATCGTATTATCTCACGCAGAGCCATGATGTCCTGTGGACTGTGTTTTACTTCACCTTTCCTATGTAGTCTCTTCATGTGTGGGTGTGCCTGGTTCTGGTGGCAGGGGAGTGAGGCAGAGTGGCACTGACTCTCTCTTCCTTTCTAGATGGGCTACAGTAAAACTGGCCAGAATGCCCGGGGCATCCTCACCAGGTTGTACAGTCGTGCTTTCGTCATGGCGGAGCCCGATGGGTCCAATCGAGTGGTGTTTGTCAGCATCGACATAGGCATGGTATCCCAGCGACTCAGGCTGGAGGTGAGTGGCTGAGGTGACAACGCAATGACATGATTTAAAAGAAAAGCTCTGTGAGTGAGTGTGACAGTAACTAAGCCCTCCTGGCTTCTCATCCAGTGAGTTCCACTGCCCTCCACCCTTAGAAGCTCTTGACAAACCAGCAAACAATGGCAGTCTAAGTCATCTTGGTCAAACTTGCTTTCAATTCTGCTGACAGCTCTTTGTCATTATTAATGTTAGTGTTTTGAAAGCTTATTATGTTCTAGGCGACCTTCACACACGTGCCCTTATTTAATCCTCCTTGATAGAAGCTTGAGGGCTCTAATTATTCACTAACCCTTCCCTCCAGTGTATAGACAATTGTGAAGAGGTGCAAGGAGCCAGATGAGAAGTGAAACACAACACTGAAATGAGGTCGGCCATAAATGGCTGAAGTTGGGTGAGAGGTACATGGAGGCCTCATTATGCTATTCTCGTTATTTTTGCATGTGTTTGAATGTTTCCATAATAAAATTTAGAAAGAGTAGTTTTGGCTCTCTCCCTCTTTATTGTAGAATATGGCAGGCTCTTCTGTGATTTCTCCTCAAACTGAGACCCGTGTTGCCCCCTCTGTGGGGAAGATTGAGCTTAGTAGAAGGGTGCCCATGGGTCCTGGGCAGGCAGCAGTAAGGTGTGCAGAGGGAGAGGGAGAAGTAGGGAGATGGGCATGGACTTCCAGGTCTGTCTTTCTAAGCCAGTTTCTTGGCCCTGAGGCAGTTGTAGTTTCTGCATGGGATCAGGTCACAGAAAGAGAGTGTGCTCTCTGAATGTCTGCTCACATATTGACAAAGGTGAGGAAGAAGAGAGGCTGGAGCACCCAGGAGAGTGACTGTTAAATGTCTACTCTTCAATGTCACCTTCTATCAGTCTCATCTATTAAACCCTGTTCCTCCTGCTGTGTGAAATGGTCCACGAGAGCGATGATGAGGGGGCCTCGAGGCATTTCTCCTACATAGCTCCCCAAGAGGGGAGCGGAAACCACCCGCATCTCTGGATGTCCACTCCTACACTTACAACACAACTATGAGGTGGGTTTGTTGTTATCCCCACTTTATGGATAAGGCAACAGAGTCTTAGAGAAGGCAAGGAACTTTCCCAAATTCACACAGTTATCAAATGGTAGAGCTGGGTTCCGAACGCACATGTGCCTGATACCAGAGCCCACATTCTTACAAGTGACATTATTCTATTATCTTGGAGGGGCAAATGTACTGACTACCCATTTTTGTTGTTGTTTGTTTGCTTTTGTGGTTTTTTTTTTTTGGCACAGTACTCTGGTCACTTCAAGGGGCACACAGCCGAGTGAGTCAGAACCCACATTCCCTATGAGCTCACTAGCCAGTTGAGGAGAAGAGGAAGGAGTGAATCGAAAAACATAGTAACTATAATTCACTGGAGTACAGTACAGTGATGTGTTAGTTATCTATTACTGAGTAACAAATAGCCCCAGAAATCAGCTGCTTAAAACAGAAAACATCTTTCATTCTGTTGGTCAGGAAATCAGGACTGGCTTAGCTGGGTGGTTCTGGCTTAGGGTATCTTGAAATCAAGGTGTTGGCAAAGGCCATAGTCATTGGAAGGCTTAATTAATCCACTTCCAAGATGATTCACTTGTGTGGCTGCTGGCAAAAGGCCTCCTTTCCCTACTTTCCATATCCTTGTGGCCTAGAACAGCCCCTTCCCTCGGAGTGGGTGATGCCAGAGACCGAGCAGGGAAGAAACCCCGGGTTAACCTCTCCTAACCCAGCTCAGAAGTTGCACGTCCAGCCTATTGTGTTCATTGGAAGCAAGTCTCCAAGTCCAGGTCACACTCAGGGATGGGAAAGCAAAGTGTGCCCTCTGAAAGGGAGGAGTATCTGAGTAAAGTAAGTCAATCGGAGAAGGACAAACAGTGCATGTTCTCATTCATTTGGGGAATATGAATAATAGTGAAAGGGAATATAAGGGAAGGGAGAAGAAATGTGTGGGAAATATCAGAAAGGGACACAGAACATAAAGACTCCTAACTCTGGGAAATGAACTAGGGGTGGTGGAGGGGGAGGAGGGCGGGGGGTGGGGGTGAATGGGTGACGGGCACTGAGGGGGACACTTGACGGGATGAGCACTGGGTGTTATTCTGTATGTTGGTAAATTGAACACCAATAAAAATTAATTTATTAAAAAAATGAGTTTGGAAGTACTCCATCTCTTTCTATCTTTCCAAACAGCTTTAGTAGAATAGGTATGATTTCTTCTTTAAACGTTTGATAGAATTCCCCTGGGAAGCCATCTGGCCCTGGACTCTTGTGTCTTGGGAGGTTTTTGATGACTGCTTCAATTTCCTCCCTGGTTATTGGCCTGTTCAGGTTTTCTATTTCTTCCTGCTCCAGTTTTGGTAGTTTGTGGCTTTCCAGGAATGCGTCCATTTCTTCAAGATTGCCTAATTTATTGGCATAGAGCTGTTCATAATATGTTTTTAAAATCGTTTGTATTTCCTTGGTGTTGGTAGTGATCTCTCCTTTCTCATTCATGATTTTATTAATTTGAGTCTTCTCTCTCTTCTTTTTAATAAGGTTGGCTAATGGTTTATCTATCTTATTAATTCTTTCAAAGAACCAACTCCTGGTTCTATTGATCTGTTCCACAGTTCTTCTGGTCTCAATTTCGTTGAGTTCTGCTCGAATTTTAATTAACTCTCTTCTTCTGCTGGGCGTCGGGTCGATTTGCTGCTTCTTCTCTAGCTCCTTTATGTGTAAGGTTAGCTTTTGTATTTGAGTTCTTTCCAGTTTTTGAATGGATGCTTGTATTGCGATGTATTTCCCCCTCAGGACTGCTTTTGCTGCATCCCAAAGATTTTGAACAGTTGTATCTTCATTCTCATTAGTTTCCATGAATCTTTTTAATTCTTCCTTAATTTCCTGGTTGACCCTTTTATCTTTTAGCAGGATGGTCCTTAACCTCCACGTGATTGAGGTCCTTCCAAACTTCTTCTTGTGATTGAGTTCTAATTTCAAGGCGTTATGGTCTGAGAATATGCAGGGGACGATCCCAATCTTTTGGTATCGGTTCAGACCCGATTTGTGACCCAGTATGTGGTCTATTCTGGAAAAAGTTCCATGTGCACTTGAGAAGAATGTGTATTCAGTTGAGTTTGGATGTAAAGTTCTGTAGATATCTGTGAAATCTATCTGGTCCAGTGTATCATTTAAAGCTCTCGTTTCTTTGGAGATGTTGTGTTTAGAAGACCTATCAAGGGTAGAGAGAGCTAGATTGAAGTCACCAAGTATAAGTGTATTATTATCTAAGTATTTCTTTACTTTGGTTAATAATTCGTTTAAGTATTTGGCAGCTCCCACATTCGGGGCATATATATTGAGGATTGTTAGAACAAATTATTTTAAGATTTGTGTGGAATCAGAAAAGACCCCGAATAGCCAGGGGAATTTTAAAAAAGAAAACCATAGCTGGGGGCATCACAATGCCAGATTTCAGGTTGTACTACAAAGCTGTGGTCATCAAGACAGTGTGGTACTGGCACAAAAACAGACACATAGACCAATGGAACAGAATAGAGAATCCAGAAATGGACCCTGAACTTTATGGTCAACTAATATTCGACAAAGGAGGAAAGACGATCCACTGGAAGAAAGACAGTCTCTTCAATAAATGGTGCTGGGAAAATTGGTCATCCACATGCAGAAGAATGAAACTAGACCACTCTCTTGCACCATACACAAAGATAAACTCAAAATGGATGAAAGATTTAAATGTGAGACAAGACTCCATCAAAATCCTAGAGGAGAACACAGGCAACACCCTTTTTGAACTTGGTCACAGTAACTTCTTGCAAGATACATCCACGAAAACAAAAGAAACAAAAGCAAAAATGAACTATTGGGACTTCATCAAGATAAGAAGCTTTTGCACAGCAAAGGATACAGTCAACAAAACTCAAAGACAACCTACAGAATGGGAGAAGATATTTGCAAATAACATATCAGATAAAGGGCTAGTTTCCAAAATCTATAAAGAACTTATTAAACTCAACACCAAAGAAACAAACAATCCAATCATGAAATGGGCAAAAGACATGAAGAGAAATCTCACAGAGGAAGACATAGACATGGCCAACATGCACATGAGAAAATGCTCTGCATCACTTGCCATCAGGGAAATACAAATCAAAACCACAATGAGATACCACCTCACACCAGTGAGAATGGGGAAAATTAATAAGGCAGGAAACAACAAATGTTGGAGAGGATGTGGAGAAAAGGGAACCCTCTTACACTGTTGGTGGGAATGTGAACTGGTGCAGCCACTCTGGAAAACTGTGTGGAGGTTCCTCAAAGAATTAAAAATAGACCTGCCCTACGACCCAGCAATTGCACTGTTAGGGATTTACCCCGAAGATTCAGATGCAATGAAACGCCGGGGCACCTGCACCCCGATGTTTCTAGCAGCCATGTCCGCGATAGCCAAACTGTGGAAGGAGCCTCGGTGCCCATCGAAAGATGAATGGATAAAGAAGATGTGGTTTATGTATACAATGGAATATTACTCAGCCATTAGAAACAACAAATACCCACCATTTGCTTCAACGTGGATGGAACTGGAGGGTATTATCCTGAGTGAAGTAAGTCAATCGGAGAAGGACAAACAGTGTATGTTCTCACTCATTTGGGGAATATGAATAATAGTGAAGGGGAATATAAGGGAAGGGAGAAGAAATGTGTGGGAGATATCAGAAAGGGACACAGAACATAAAGACTTCTAACTCTGGGAAATGAACTAGGGGTGGTGGAAGGGGAGGAGGGCGGGGGGTGGAGGTGAATGGGTGACGGGCACGGAGGGGGACACTTGATGGGATGAGCACTGGGTGTTATTCTGTATGTTGGTAAATTGAACACCAATAAAAATTAATTTATAAAAAAAAAATGAAAGGGAGGAGTATCGAAGAACTTGTAGACACATGGTGTTTTAGAACCACCACAAGGGGCCTG